CTATTCTTTCCCCAACCTGTATCGATATCAGGGGTAATTATGAGAATCTGGTGCTTGAGGATGACTCAGCCTTGGGGGTAAATCATAATAAGTTTACTCTATTATGTCACTTAGTTGTTATGACAATACACCTAAAGTAGAGTTGGCTCAGATAAGTGAACAAAAGCTTGGCATCAATGGCCCAAAGTCAAGTTGGAAACCCATCAACAGGATGTATACCAGGGTTGATACTGACATCAATGCTGTATAATTTCTTCATTCATGACCTGAATGTTCAGACAGTGTGTGCTCTCAGAAAAATTTACAGGTGATAAAAATTTGGTAGAAGTGGTTGATAAACCAGATGGTTGGTCTGCTGTTCAGAGAAACCTGGATAGGCTGAAGAAACGGGCCAATAATAATGTCAAATAGTTTAGCAAATGGAAATTCAAAGTCCTGTACCTGGAAATCAATAAGGCCATGCATGAGCACATGCTGGGGCTGGACAAATGGTAAGCAACTTTGCAGAGAAAAACCGAGGGTCTTGATGAACAGCAAATTGAACATTAGCCAGCAATGGTCCATTGCAGAAGACATGCCAGCAATTTCCCAGGCTCCACTAGGAAGAAGATTGTCAGGTGGATGTTGGAGTTAATTCTTCCTCCTAACTTAGCACTGGTGAGGCCACCTCTGGGTCCAAGTCTGAGCTTCTCATTAGAAAGGAGACATGAACATATCAGAGTAAGTCTTGCAAAGGATCACAAAGATCATTAAGGACTTCAGGCAGCTGACATGTAAGGAGAGGTTGAGAGACCAGGGACTCTTCAGCCCAAAGAGAATGTTTGGGAAAATCCTGTCAATGTGTCTAAATATCTGATGGTGGGGGGTGGGGTGATAAAGAAGACAACCTTCTCTCAGTAGTATTCAGTGAATGGATAAGACACAAATTTATATACAAGAAATTATGTGTAAGCAGAAGAAAAAGCTTTTTTACTGTAAAAGTGGTCAGACACTGGACCAAGTTTCCCAGGGTGTTTGTGGAGACTCCCTCTTTAGAGATATTGATAACGCAGCATGGACACAAGCCTTAGTAACCTAGTGTAATTCATCCTTCTCTTTTCAGGAATACTGAACTAAAAGAATTCCAGAGCTTCCTTTTGACCTGAACAATTCTATGATGCTGTACTATATAATCATACTGTACTATAAGGAGCACTAATTTACATTGATTTCAGCAGCTTATCTAGCTATGCCTTCATACATTGTTCAAACAGGTTCAGATGAGACTGATGATCTCTAGAGATTTGGCTTTTATTTCCTGGATTTTATAGTGTGCTTTTGTGTAAAAAGCAGCAAAATAAAAATGTATTTTAGCTGCATTATTTAAAAAACTGAGAATATTTATACTCTTTCTTTTTTCAGAAGGGCTCAGTACTTAATGCCAAGTCATACTGTGATTTTGTACTTAGACAAAATTCATGTTGAGCATTCCCAGTTTGGCAAAACACTCAGGAACCTTCACAACAAATGCAATGTATGCCCTAACTAAAAGAGCTGTGACTGTGTTGTCAGTTTGATAAAATAAAGATAAAAACAGTGGTAATACCCAGTGTTTCTAACTGCCTGTTGTGTCTTTGTTGTAGAACTTCTGTACAAACTGCAGTACAGTCTTCCTCTGTCCTATACATTAATTTAAGACTATGTGACTGTGCTGTCACAATGACACAAATGAAATTAAATTGCTGATATGGTCTTTTTTGCCTCAACTAGACAATAGAGAAGTACATATACATATTAATCTTTCTTTTCTACTTCATGTGAAATGAAAAATAAAATTTATTTATTTATTTCACATTTTGTGGTCTGAGAAAACTGACTGCAATTCGCTGTCGGAATAGTATGACAAAACAAACCTTGAACAATTTTTCAGGAAAAGAAACCCCAAAACTTTCATGTTTACTACAGTTATAGGTTTGATAATTCTTATTTTAAAATTCTTTCAGGATAAAGCTAGTATTTACACTCAAAGTGAGAAACTCTGGGGATGGAATTAGTGGTATTATGGGATTTGAAAAAAAATCAAGATTCTTAATGTGAAAATGCATTTAAGTTAAATTTATATCTTGTTTAAATTAAATCCAAAATGTGCTTGGATTGTCCTCTTCCTTCCCCAAAAAATGTGAAACCCCAAAATAATGGAAATTTTTAAATATACAGGTGTTGATACAATTTTTCTGAAATGTCATCTATTCTGTAGATGTGCTCCAACACAGCACAGCTAGAGATGTGTTATGCAGTTGACATTCTTACCAATTTCAGTGCTACCATAAAACCAGAATGTCAACACTGTCTGGTGTATTCCAGCCTCAGGGGTTTCAAAAGGTCTTAGATAGTAGTTTGTTTATCCAAGAATCTATAATTTTTTTTTTTTTTTTTTTGAGCTAACCACTCAGATTAACTTTAAGGAATTTGCACCTCTAGAAATGATTCATCTTGTGCTAAAATGTGCTTCTACAATTAATCATGCATTTGTGTTATGTTCCTGAGTATGAACCTCAACTGTGAGGAGTCTAATACAACCAGTTCAAGAAGATACTATGCTGGAGATGTTTAAAACTACATGAGAAAAAGCCCCAGGTTTCTTGGTAGGGACTAAAAGCTCTGGAAGCACTGAATCACCAGCCATTGGGTGATCCCAAAGTATTATTTTTTTAGTGTCAATGGCAGTTCAAAATTTGTAAAAAGTAAAGGCTCTTGAATCAGTGCTAAAACTGAACTGCTTAGAAGAAATAGAATTTTACCCCAGAAGGTAGAAACATGGTTATACCTCACATTTTAGAAACAAGCTTTAATGTTTCCACAATTGCTACTTTATGTGAAACATATCTGAAAATATCTGATTATACAGAGACATTTTGTCATCTGTTCTTTGCATTTATTATTATTTGCTTGGCAAATAATTTAAGCTATCAAACTATGCTGTGAAATACATATGGCAAATTCTAAAGTTGAAATAGTTTTAACAGAAATATAACATGTACATGAGCTTCAGTAAACAAAACAAGGATAAGCACACACATACACAATATATGTAAGGACTAACCAAAAGAGATACTATCAAAAAAAAAAAAGAAACATAGCAAGAAGAAAGGCATACCAGAAGGTCCAGTTATGCTACTGGTGCTTGCAGAACTTGACAGAAGATGCAAATGCTACAAAACTGAAGGACATTAGCTGTGTGACAGAACTTTAGAACATCATTCATAGTAAATAGGGTGATAGAACTGAATTCTGGAAAAAGGAAGATATATCACTCTACTAAAAGGTAGATCTGGCTTATGAAATGTCAAGGGTTTATTGAAATTTGTTGTCCATGAGTTGAGAAAAAACAAAGGATTTACATGTCCTAAGTATCATGGAGTAGCAGAAACAAAAATAAAAGGTAACCATGAAGAAAGCATAGAAATAAGTGCTCTGCCATTTAAGATGACAAAGAGGATCCTGGTCCTTCGCTGGTTACACCAAGAGGTATTCCACAGCCCTCTGATGATGTCTTTTTATCCCAAACACAAGTAACACCTCTGGGTGGATGGCAAAACTCTAGGTCTTCAACTGTTTAGGTAAAATCAGCAATATCAACAGCTTACAGGCAAACTAGGCGTAAAGGTATCACGTGATGGCAAAATAATATGTCAGCAGATATGCAGGCTGCTGTACTCCTTACTAGTTTCAGTTAGCAGGTTGATTTAAATTTAATTCCCTGAAGAGCTCATTACCATACTCTAGTTTGGAGTGTTTAAATTGTCATTATGTAATTGCATAATAAGGAAAACACACATGTTTTATCAAATTATAGTAAATACAGGAATTTCAGAATTCCCTAAAAACTGTCCTATCCATAAGTCCATTTGAAGCACAATACAGGAAAAACAAACAAACAAAACAACCACCCTCCCTTCAAAAACCTGAGTGACCTAATGCATATCACGCTTAACACTTCAAAGATAAGCTATTCAGGTTTCTTTTTCCCCACTTCATACACTTCATACACCAGACATGTCTCAACTTATAATAAGTTTTGTCAACTATTTATAGTCAGCTAGAAATTATTCAAAGTGTGCTCATTAAATGTTTACCCATCATCTCTGTTAAATATGCTTCCTTCTGCCCATATTAATAGAAGTATTTGACTTCCTCTCACCATTTTGTGAAATGCAAGGTAATTTGCAATGAGAATAAAAATACTGAAATCATGACAGGAACTCAGATAACATTATATTTCTTTTAAAAATGCAATTAGTATTTTTCCATGATGTTGATAAGTTTTTATTAATCATAGAATCATAAAATTGTCAAGGTTGGAAAAGACATTGAAAATCATCAAGCCCCAGCCCCAGCACTGCCAAATCCACCACTAGACAATGGCCCTAAGCACCAGAGCTACATGTCATTTAAACACCTGCAGGAATGGTGACTCAGCCATTCCTAACTCCCTAGGAAGCCTGTTCCAATGCTTGGCAAGCCTTTTGGGGAACTAATTTTTCCTAATATCCCATCTAAATCTCCCCTGACACAAGTTAAGGCCTCTTATTTCCTCTCAACATGTAACTTCTTATCTGGAAGAAGAAACTTACACCCATCTCACCATAACCTTCTTGCAAGTAGTTGTAGAGAGCCATAAGGTCTCCCTGGGAAGCCTCCTATTCTCCAGGCTAAACAACCCCAGCTTCCTCAGTCACTCCTTATAAGACTTGGGCTCCAGACCAGCCACTGTTCCTAAGACTTGTACTCCAGACCCTTCACCAGCTCCACTGCCCTTCTTTAGACATACTCCAGCAGCACAATGTCTTGCCTGTGGTGAGGGACCCAAAACTGATCACAGTTCCTTACTTCCCCAAGATTAGAAAACTCTATGTTTTCATGATTACTATGCCCAAGATGGCGTTCAGCCATCACATCACCCACAAGTCCTGTTCACTGGTGCTCCTTAAGTGCTTCTTTTATAAATGGGGGGGCTTGGCAGCCATTGCTGCTGGCTCTGCCCAGATCCTGTCAGCTGCTGTTGCACGAACTGGGGGCTACCAGTGGCTCTTTTCTCACCCTTAGGTTCCTCTAGTTCAGGGACCCCCTATCCACCACTCCAGAGTGTTCCTCTGCAGATTGTACTGGAACTGGAGCTGTTTGCCTTGGCGACTGAGTAACTAATGTTACAGAGGAAGATTAATTGTGCTTTTATACTTAGGGTAGCAGATGGTACTCAAATGTAGGAAATCTGGCAGGTATGTGAAGTAACATTTAGACATTCTTAGGGGTTTTTGTTTGTTTGTTTGTTTGCTTGCTTTTCATCAAACAGAAATCTGCTAATATGGAGTGTGGTAGTTTGATTTTTAGGCCTTCCTTGGGAACCGAGGTCAAAACCAAGGAAGTATTCCATTCTATCCCTTTACGTGAACAGAGGTATAAATAAGATGGAGAGAGAGATCTCTTCCCCTCTTCTCTCCGACGAACTTGGGAGACAGTAAGTTCCTGCAATTGATCTCGCTTATCTGGGAGTTGAGGTCTGCTCAGTTTGTTGCTTGCCACGCGGGAGGTGGACGGTGCTGGTCATGTCTGGCGATCTTGCTTTTTTTAAAAGAAGTGGTGAGATTTCATTTTTCTAGTTCTTTATTTTGCCAGTTCCCAGGTTTTGATTGTGCATATCTGTTTTGGTTTTGTTCCTTTTTGTCCCTTTTCCCTTTTCCCTTCCCCTTCCCCTTTTTTTAGGGAGTTGTTTGGGGTTCTCATGTTAATATGTACATAGTATTTTAACTGTATATAACTGTGATATATGTGAAAATATATATATATATTGATATAATTCTGTTGGTTTCAGTTTCTCTATTTCTATAGGTTATTTTTCCTTTGCCTAAAGAGGGAAAAGGCTTTCACTGGGTCTTGGAGACTTGATGGGAAGCCAGCTCCCAACTTGGCCATAGAGCTAGACCACACCTAACAGAGAAATTCTACCAAAAAAAAATCAGCAACTGAACAATTGTATATGTAGTAGGAGTAAAATATCCCTTCCTTTCAGTAGATTTCTGTAACATTTTCCCTTTCACATATAGTCACCCTTAAAAACCCTACCTGGATGTATTCAAAAACATGTTGATATTAAGCACTGTTTGAAACAGAATAGAAGAAATAGAATTGCATTTATGGAAAAACCTGAAATAAAATCTGCCATTTTTCTTTCTTTGTTCTTCCTGGATGAGGCTCTGCTTTTTGATGAGATCTGAGTACATAGACTCTCAGGGTCTTCCTGTACTGCAACAAAGTCCCTCTCCAGGAAATTTCTTTTTTTTTTTTTTCCTTCTTGACTCTTTTTCTCCTTGTCTTTATTTGTGTGATACCACACTGTCTTATAATCATTTGGCTACAGAAAAATGGCAATTCCTTTTTCCTGCAATGTAACTTCACTTAATTCAGAAAGTACTATCCAAGAATAAGGTAAACAGGTGGTTGCCTTTTTTGCTGCTTTGCCATATGCTTTGGACGGAACACAGCATAAAAAGGACACACAGTAAACAGCAAAGAAATTAAACAGTTACATTACCCACCTCAGTTAGGAAATTCTTATCAGACTATGTGTAGGAATATGAATTAAATCTTTCATTAAAATAGCTGCAACTACATCCTCCCCTCAAAGCCTTTAACAATCTTCCTTGTAGAATCTATGGTAAAAACAAAACCATTAAAAAAAATCAAATAGAAACCCCCCACCAAACCAAAAGTAATAGAAATAAGAGAAGTGTGACTGATAAATCCGAATATTTAAACCACTTAAATATTTATACTTTCTTTGGAGAATTTTAATGGCGTGAAACCTGATCATACCATTAATTAGCTTATTGTGGTGTAAACCTGCCCATCATTCCCACAAAAGAAAAGTTTTAAGGTTAAAAAATCTACAGATGGTAAGGTGAATTCTGTCTGTCTGTAGACAGAATATTAAACACTCTAATTCTATTTTTCCTATTATTTTTATGATATTTGATGCATTTTTACTCTATGTGGAACTAGGTACAAGACACAATGTGTTGTAGTCTCTTGCTTTAGAATATTGTATTCTTTTTAACAGGCATAGAACTTTTTGAAATGTTTCCTGCTATTCAATTAGTGCAGGTGCAAAGAAAGATGTTCCATGAGAATTTTCGCTGGATCTCCCAGTTGATGCAGTTGGTGAATCAATTCAGAAGTTAAAGAATTTATAAAAATAAAGTAGGAAGAAGAATGATTTTTTTTTGTCTCTTTAGATTAAAACCTGGGCATGTGTATGAATTTAGGCACCTTGATAAAATATGTACATAGTGATGAACTTCCCAAAAACTTGCTTAACTCTTTCTAAACCTGAAAGACTCCAAACAATACATAGTTTCAGTCTATTCAGGAAAAAACTTCAGGTTACCTCTTGTGGACTTCAGGAAGGAGCCAGATGAAAAATCCATGTTTCCTCATGTAAAGAATTAATCAGTAGCTCAATATGTGTTACAGATGAGTATGAAATTCTGGTCTAATTCCCCACTCCATCTGGTTAAGTAGAAACTTGTGTCTTGAGCTAACCAGAAAACAAAATGATCAAAACATTGGCTTGACATTGTGTGGACCGACACTTTCACAATTAAGATGTAGATGGAAAGGATTTCTCCCTTCTCTGGAGAATTCTATTTATTAAGGGGTAAGCTGGGAAAAGACCCTCTCCCATGTGTTGAATCTAAAAAAAAAAAAAAAGAAAAAAAAGGAAATTTTTAATTTTGGATGTAAACTCATGGAATTTACCTGGATGTTTTTGTGAGTAAATATGCAAAACTGAATTCTTGAATTTTCCAGGGGAAACCGGATAATTCATAGCTGTCCCTGGCATGGGTTGTTGTGAATTTTGAAAACACTTGTATTAAACAGAAATGAATCTTTCATTTAAAAGAGACAGGAGACAAAACCTCCAGAAATTACAAAACTGAGAACATTTGTTTGTGCACACGGTCCAGTTTTGATTATGTAAACCAGTGACTTGATGTTCCAGAAAGAAAGTGTTACAAAAAATAAAGAATTCTGAAGCGAAGAAGTGGCTGTGGAAAGAAGAAGGGGGTCCAGAAAGGATAAAGGGAAGATTCTAGCTGGAGGAAAGTTCTTTAAACTGGGAGAAGATCCTGGAGATGGGAGAGAAGCATGAGGATAAATGCCTGACCTTGGTTAGTGATGCCCCAAACTATCAGGAGTTGCATAGAAAGAACCAACACAGCTTTATGCCTGATCCTCCCAGAGCAGCAAAGATGTTCCTGCAGGGAAGGGAAGTCAGCATGTAGTGAACTACTGTATTATCTCTGGTTTTTTTCAGCCTAAATGAGTGAACTACTGTATTATCTCTATGTTTTTTTTCAACCTAAATGATTCTATGAACTTAATGTTGTGGGAAAGGGAGGGAGATAACCAAGCAGAAAAAAAAGCTCTAACCTCTTTTGTTTGTTTTCTATAAAGAATTTGCTTGACTGAATAAAGATTTGTTAGCTCAGGGACTCATCTCATCTCATCCCTTCTGCTACCCATATTGGTCTCCAATTTTATTTTATGTTCTTTCTGTTCTCATAAATACTTTTGCAAATACACACGAGTATACAATGTTAAACCCAAAGGGGCTAAGACCTGTATTAGTGTACCCACAATCTTCATAATGCTTTCTCTGAATGTGTTAGAAGAATTTTGTCCATCCTCTTCAAATCACACTGGCAACAGTTGTTGGTTTTGAGAAGGATTGGTAAAAGACTAAATATTTGTTCTTTTTCTGACTTCATACCAAGTAGCTGAGAAGTTATTCACTTCTCCTTGCTGTTTAAGGAGAAGACTGAAGTTCCTGAGCAGGAATGGGTTGTCACTCCTGACTTTAAATTACCCATTCCCATCTCTTTCCCAGAATACCACAAGTGGGATGACAGTAACTCACATGTACTAAACGCACACGTAATCTCAAAACTGGTTAGTCTACTGTGATTTAGAACTGAACCAATTTCAACCAATTGAAATGCCTCATGCCTGACTTGCTGCTTGCCATTTAGGGACTAGAAATTATTTTTGTTCCTTTTACCATAGTAGGTGATATAGGAAAGTGACTTGCCTCAAGAGAAATTATTACCCTAATTGTAGCAATCTGATTAAATAAATTCTATCAGGAACTTTCTCCCTTATCCACCATCACTTGTCTTCATAGAAAAATCCATGAAGCATAATCTAAGCATAAAGTGTCCGGAGAATTTCTTTTTATTATTTCTTTATGGTTGCTGAAGACTGTCTTGCAATCAGTCAAATGTTTATATGAGGATAGAACAAGTAATACGCACACCAAACACAGAACTTCACTGTACATCTGACATAATAACAGGGTAGAAGCAGAATTAATCTCCTCATCTTAATTGTGATGGTCATTAAAATTACACAAAATATTCCTTGCCTGTACCCTCCCTCTCCCCCACTCCCCAAATGTTTTCTAGGGTTAAAACAAGTTGTTGCTATCACTATTATTATTATTGAGGCTGTATTATGACCCATAGACTAAAGAGAGTAGTAGTAGTAATCTAGCTATCTCATAACTCCAGCAGTGTAATTCCAGAATGTTTTGAAAGTCTGGTCTTTTCTTGACACTTCTCAGAGCATTGCTGAGGAGAAATGCTCATTTACTAATGTGACTGAAAAGCACTGTCACTCCAAATCACCACAGCCATTTAATGAAAATGGGCTTTTCAGCAATATAATAGATGCTGCCAAAGCAGTGATCAGAAAGAGAAGAAAGAGAATGAACTTAGTAACACCAGTTGTTAAAAACATCAACTGTGTTTTGCTGAGATGTCTGACTCAAGATGGTATCTGCCCTGCCGAATAATTTCCTTCATCAGCTTCAGCTACCTGAAAATGTCTTCACTTTTTTTCACAGGCTACATACTGGCTAATAAGGTGAAAGGTTTCATTCCTGTCATGTTAAAATGAGTCATTTATACAGAAGTATTTTTAAAGGTGCTGCTACTGCAATTGTTGTTCAGATGATGCCCAAGGAACAGTATTTAACTCTTTTTAAAATTTTTCCTGTTGAAACTAGTGCTTGGTCTTCCAAGTTCACTAATTACTATGATGTTTACCTTTACATTTATATAATAAATAACTTACTCCAATTTTAAGCTTCTTTTCTTCTACAGTCTTTTACTATAAGGTCCAATATTTCAAAATTGGTTTTCATCTTGATCGAGAATGAAAATCTGAAATATACATTTATTTGATGATGCAGAGGATAATGAAAACAAACCAAACCTTACAGATTTATCGGGTAGTACTGTTAATATTCTTTTCATTTTTGAGGCAACACTCAGTTGTCCTCTTATAGGTATCAAATACTAAATAAGTGGTACCTTGCATGTCTCCAGGTGCTGACAGAGGATATAAGTTCCCCACAGATCCTAATTTGTAACTGCCAACCCACATTTTGCTTATCCTAGGGTATTGTAGATGGCCTTGAGTGCCTGTGAGAATGAAATAGATCAAGTTGCTATATGTAGATGAGTTAAATTCTGACATACTAACATATGAAGGATAGGTATGTTTTGGCATGCATTCTGTTCAGCTCCATGCTAATTTCATGTCCTACCACAGAATTGATTTGAGACAGACCACTGTCAACTCTTGCAATAAGACCAGGATATTATGATTCAGGTACCACTGAAAACGTACCAAAAGTCTTTGAAAGTTTGAATATACTATATATTGAAAAACTGACCAATACACCAGAAGTTTTAACCTTCATGTGAAATCCCGCAGAAGCAATCCCATTTCATAGTCTCTTTGCATAGTAGCTGTTGGATACCTTTATGCAATATTATCTTTATTCGAGCAAATCAGAATTGTGAAAAAAGTACATTTGTTTTAGGGAGACAATTTTATCTCTCACAGCATACTAAAAATTTTGCTCTTGGATTTCATTCCCTGAAGATGTAGACCCTTATTCTGAAAATTCTTTATTAACTTATGTTTTACCTTTCAGCATATGTCTTCACTGTCTAAGCAGAAACATGTCCTCAAAATTCTACAGACAATTATATATGCAACTGTTGTATAGTCAATGCTGCATACAAAGTGTACACGTCAGAAATTTTAAAATGTAGGAATGTTTCTTGGTTTACAAATGAAAACTCTAGAGATAACCTTGAACAATATGAAATCTGACACTGTATAAACATCTCTTTATTCTTCAGTAAGCATTTGGACAATTCTTTCAGGCATACGGTTTGATTCTTGTGATGTACTGTGTAGGACCAGGAGATGGACTCAATGATCCTTGTGGGTTTCTTCCAACTCAGTATATTCTATGATTCTGTGATGTATTTCTTAATAACTTATTATTTTAAATATAGACCATGAAATTACAATTGCTATTTTACATCATCACTATAGAAGAAAAAAATAGCTTTGCCTTATAAAAATGGGGGGTGTGTTTGTCTACTTTCTGTTTTTAATATTGGTATTTGTTATTTGTTGAATTCAAGAATAAATTAAAACAGCTTCAGATGTCCCTCACTGAATTTTTTTTAAGTAATATTTTCTCCCAGACAAAACTATATTATATAATATAATACATGAATTCTATTTTTCTGTTTCCTTTTACTATCCTGTGATAGAGTGATGGAGCAGCTTTCTTTAACTTAGAAGTAAAAAGGTCACTGAGTAAAATAAAAATACTAAAGGAAAAACATTTCCAGAAAATGAGCAATTTTACGGGATGTCCTAGTATCATGATTTGAAAAGACTTTTCCCCCTGGGGCTGCAAGATGGCTAGTTCCAGGGGTGGTGTTTTTGGAGGTGAGCCAATCAGAGCTTGGTGCACCCCTGTGGAAATTACATATTCACAAAACTGGAAAAGAAGGCTTGTTGGTATAGCTGGAATTAGAGGGAAGCCATGAGGTAGAGAAAGGGACCAGGAGTTTTCCCCTGGGCCTGTCCTGGCCGGGGAGCCAGACATGACATAGCAGTCAAATTGAGCCCCCCCCCGAGACTGATGGTCGAGGGGAAACCCCGAAATCTGGAGAGGCCCCTGGACTGCAGTATTTGTTCCCCCTCCGTCACTGAGAGGCGGCAGAGTGGGGTTTGAGTGGCCACCAGGGACTGGAGCCAGGTTCCTGGTGGCAGGCACGGCGCTGAAGCGGAACCAGTGCGGACCGAGGGGTGACCCAGAGCAGATTGGGGCAATAACCATGACCCTGGAGAGGAGACAGCAACACACAACCCCGGAGTAGCCTGGGACAGTCTAGGGCACACAGCTGTGATGACGAAGTGACGGCAGCACGCAAACTGTGGAGCGAAGTGGACCTGAAATGACCCAGACAGTACCAGCGTCCAGCTGAGACAGAGCAGACGGAGAGAGGTCTACTTCAGTATTCTTGGGGTAGGGACTTGAGCCAAAAATTTCTAGAACCCTTTTGACATGGGGAGGGTGGAATCCTGCTTAGGGGACCCCTGAAATTCCTCATGGAAAGAACCTCCATGAAACAGGGGACGAAGACTTTAAGCTTTAATCCCTTTAATCTGTGGTGTAGATGTGGTGAGACAGATGCTCCGCCAAAGTCCATGGTAAGAACCTCGGTAATTGTGGTCGAGGGGTGAGAAGTGGGGGTAGACCCCCTTGTATTCCAAAGAAGAGAGAAAGAAGAGAAGAATTTTCCAACTACTAAGAATTAGATCTGTGGTCTTGAGAGTAAAGGACTACTTCTCCTCCTGGACTTTAGGGTGGGAGAGAGGGGTGGTCTGTGTAAATACATTGTTTTATCATAGGAAAATTAGTTAGAATTGTTGTATATATTTTGCTTTATAGTTTTTTATTTTTTTAGCAATAAATTTTGATATAAGTCCCCCATGATGCTGAGTTATGCCTGTGTGAAACTTCTCTCACATTTGGGTGAATTTGTGGTGGGTTTGAAATTGGCTTTTGGTGCTCTAACTACCTCACCTAGCTCAGACTACTACTGAAACTAGATCATGTGAGAACATTTAAAGTAATAACATAACTATCCAGAATTAGAACTATGGTAACAATTTCAGTCTGGTCATTGAACTAAAAAAAAATAAACCACTTTTGGAGTTAATCCAAGTGTTTTTCTCATTTTGTAATAAAATGTTTTATTAATTTACCTAATTTTCTATTGAAAATTGTTTTACATGAAAATTAAAATGTTACTTTTTTCTTTTAGTCTTTCATTTCTGCCAGCTACAGTTTTCTTTTCTTTCACTTGAGTACAAATTCAACAACACTTCTGGCTGACC